ACAAGACATTTCTAAGGTACAAACAGTCTTTGGAAAAATATCTGCTTACTGCCTATAGTTCTAGATGAATGCTCAACAAGTATGAGTTATCCTCATATCCTCATTCACTAATCCTTGATGAAGCCAACCATTAGGCCCTCCAAATCAAATCACCATTATGCATTCAGCAATCAGCATGCCTACAGAGTGCTTGCCGTCCTACAGAATCATCATTAGAACTGGCTAGAGAAGACAATTTCTTTATTTCTTTAGCTTCTTCAAGATCTAAATTTACCGTGATGTTCTGTAAGGAAGCTGTTCTTAGGCACATCTTGCTCTTACAATACCCATACATTTATTAGAGAAACATACTAATCTTCCTACTTGCTTCCCAGTCCTTGTTTCCCCCAGCACTCTGAAACACATATTATTTCACCAGGAGTTTTCTCTTAAGTTTAAAGCTAGAGTGCAGCTACCAACGCTTGAAAATTGCATCTGGGGAAGAGGCAGGATATTGAGAATACTGGTACACTCCCTCCGAGATGGCAAAAGCTCAAACAACAGATCTCAAGCCAAGTCATGAACATTCAAATCATTCAAGTTCCTCAATCAATAGGCATATACAAAATGCACAATAGCCATAATCCCCCATATCAGAGAAAAAATGGTAATACTTTTACTTACAAGACAGAGTAAAAAGCTCCTTTAGGCTGCTAGGGAAGAAAGACTTTCAACGTAAAGTACAGAGAACAGCATGTTTTGATAAAAGCACCATCAGAAACTATTTGCATCAGCTGCCCACTCCCATTAGCTTAATAGCAGTCACCCTAAGAGAAAAATCCTGGTGCTAACGAACCTGGTAAACTCTCTTGGATTTAAAGGCCTAGAATTTAACATGTGGGCCTGATTTGAAACTTGTTGAAGTTAAGGACTCCTACTGCCACCCCTGATATGTAGTGATATTTTCTTGTGCCTCAGCTTTGCTCAGGAATAACTATCATAGCTAATAATAATAATAGTGCTGTTTACACATTTTGTCTACCATGTCCTGGATAGAGGAAACAAATGCCACTTAAATGGCAGACATACAAAGAATATCCAGGGAATGAAAAGGGTGACTTCACGGCCACCACTGCGTGGCATTGGGATGAGTCAGGATACTCAATGCCTCCAGCCAGGGTAAACTCCAGCAAAGAGGGGGCATCCCTCTGTGAGGCCACCACCATAACACCTTTGACTCTACACCAGTTCACGTAGGGTTGCTGACTTAGAGCTGCTCAGCTTGAGGTAGCCTCCTGTGGATATGCCATCTGCATTTAAACTCAGTAAGCCAGGTACAAAAGCGGAAAGTGGCAAGTGGCAAAGAGGGGCTGCACAGTTTTAATATTCTTTTGAAGAATTTTTTTTTTTAATGAGTCATTTCCCTGCAATGATTCTTTAAAGTTGCATTATGCATCAAAATAGCAAGTGTAAGCAAAAAAAAACAAAACATGCAGTATGCTGTGCTGTCTTCCATAGGCACCTAGCAGTGCTACAAGCAAGACTGAGGCAGTGGTATCTATAGCCTCTCAAGAATGTCTTCAGCACTTTTAATAGTTCTACTTGGGTGGGGGAGAGGGGGAGGTGGAGGTTTGTATCACATATCTTTCTCCCGTTGCTGAATCAAAAATAGTAGGCTGAGTCATTTGTCATAGGCAGCTAGACAGTCACCAGCCACACTGAGCACGCGTCCCAGGTCTGGATTCCCCACAGCCTCCTTCCCGTAAGGATCTTCCCACCTCAAACAGCTGCTTTTCTTGAGTGACATCTGTAGCGCTGATTGAATCCATTAGAATGTTGCAGCACAGGCTTTCAGCAGATCCTTTGATACAAAAATGCATTCAAATAGGTGGGAATTCTTTTACTGCCTTCTGGGTCAGAGCTGTTGTGTTCGAGGTATCCACCTTGGGATGGAGCATCTGCCCTTGGATGAATGCAGGGCATTGCAGGAACATGAACTACAAATAACATTGATCCTTTCCATTTTTAGTGGCAACACCTGTATGACTTTGAATATAGGAAGAGAGAAAGGTATGTCAATAATAACCAGGAAACCTAAAATGCAGCATTTCTGAACCTTCTTCTCTTTTCCCTCAACCAATACCTGAAGAACTAAATCACTTTTCCTTCTGCAGCAACCTGTAAAATGAACAGGAAATAATCTTTGGTGAATTTTCTTCCACACTTTGTACAAGAAATAACTGTGACAGTTGCAAGCTTGGCAATTTCACAGATTATTCTCTAATATCAACTTTATTTTTATATTTTATTTCTCTAAGCACTTTTTCCTTATCCCACACTGAAAGTAAGATGTGCCATCTGGCCTGAAATAATTATCTAGTGGGGGCGACTGACATACAAAGAAAGAGTGAGAGGAAGGAAAACACGAGGAAACCAATTCAGCTTTCAGAGGACTATTAATTTTTCATTAGTTTGATATTATTAATTATTAATAAGTAACCAGCCACAAGAATCGGTCACCACAAATGCTGCCTCTAGAAGGGCTCTTTTGTGACTGGTACCTTGCCCAGCACACAGCAGTATTTACCCACTGGCCAGACTGAGCAATGAGGATCATGGCTGGCCTGCACTCACCTTACAGGGCAGACTGAATTTTGACACTGGTCCTTCTGCTAATCTATCCTAATATGTAAGCACTTCTCTAGTTAAACACTTTTATGTGAAGCTCTCACATCTACTTTAACATCTCTGCTCTCTCATTTCAAAATCTTCACCCCTTTGCTGGTATGAATCGCTTCAAATGAAAACAGTTTATTGCTTCTTGACATCTTCCCATCACATCGCTGGTAGATTTAAAATCTGTGTCTCTGACCCTCCTTTTCCCTAATATCCAGCTTGTTGAGTTCACCTCTGGTTTTTATCTGTTTCACAGGGAGGTTTTCCTGCTGAAATTCACTGCCATAATACTATATTTATTGTGTGCCTTGGGGGATAAAGAGAGCAAATCAAACCTTGTTGTCCTCTAATTTCTTACACGTATGCCTCTTGATTTCATTAGGAAACGCAACATAAAACAGATATGCCCCATGGCTATGCTGTCACTGCAAGTATTTTAGAATGATGACAAATAAGTGTTCTTCAGCCTATGTTTCTTATTAATAAACCCCACAATTCTTTTGTCCATCTTATCAGTCTCTAAACTAAGTGCACTAAACAGTGTGAACTGTGTGTATAAGCTGGTAATGGTCTCTAGATTCCATAGCACGTGAAAAGCAATTTGTATGGACACAGCTGGCTTCACCACACCCTTAAGGAAGGGAGGAGTGGGTCGCTACAAAACTCAGAGCTTCCCATTGTCTCTGTCCATGTTGTCTCCCAGTCAGGGCAACCCCCAAGCACGTCATCTGCAGCTTCCCTCCCACTGGTTTCTGTGCAGAGGAAGTGTGGAGGGAGCAGCAGTAGGAACTGCAGCACACCGCCTCAAGCTGCTCCCTCAGTAGGACCCCAGGATGCCACCTACCAGAAAAAATAGTAGCAAGTTCAAAAGCTTGCTCACGTTGAACCTGAGCTACAGAAAATGCAGCATTTGCTCATTGCTGAAAATGAGGACATTTCTACCTCAAAAGACAGCACTGATGTATTCTTCAGAATGCATCATACAGAGGATGTGGGTGGTCAGCATAAGTGCAACTTCATGAAAATCCTCAGAAATTTCTGTTCTCAAGTACTTAGTACATGGCAAAATGAAAGAGCTCTCCAAAATAAGCAGTGCCCCTTTTTCTCCCTTGCTTTGCCCCTGCATGTTGAAAGTGAGGAAAGAATAAAGAAAGATTTCTGAGATTCAAAGCCACCAACAAATGGACTGAAATAATTAGCTAGTTATTTTAATAGAACAAACCCTGTCTTCCTCTTAATATTATAGTGCCTTTTTTGTCCTAACTTCAGAAAATTGAGCAGCTTCTTGTAAAAGGAGTGACATGAGAGCTAGTTCTGAAAGCAGCCCAACAGAGGCAAGTTTCTTCCTTCCACCCATCCCCTCCCCATCTCACAAAGAGAATTTTCTACCTCTCTGTAGTACAGTTCTCCCTGAGGGAAAAGGAGGCCTGCATCAGGGCCTGAAAATAGTTGCTGAGATTGCTTCACATTTAGGTCAAATACTTCTCCATCTGAAGAGGTTTTGTGACAACACTGAATGTATCTTACATGTTAATGCAAGGCACTCTAGAAACGGAGGAGAATCCAATGGTTTAAGTCCATGGAAAGCTAATGCTAAAATTATATCTGTGAGCATTGTAAAAACAGAACAGGGATAAAGAACAATAAACTTTCAAAGGAACAGAGGTGTTGAGGAAAAGCAACTGGCTTTGCTGCAAGTGCCTCCCTGATGAGTGATGGAACTGGTGCAGAAAGAGGGAAAACTGGAACATAATGTGTCAATTGGACTCAGAGAATAAATGTAATAAACAAAGGCACTGCATCATTCCCTATTTGATAAAATAAAATAAAAAAAAAAGATATATATTTTTTTACTATTACAAATGAAAATTATGCCTTTTCCTGTTTTCTTTACTAACTAGTTGCTAATGCTAGTTTCACTGCCTTTTCATTGTGAAACAGAACAGTGTTGGTGTCTGGGGCATTTGGAAATTGAATGGATACTTATTCACCTAACTGCAGTCTGATAACACTGAGACAGATATTCAGGATCTGAAATTGAAAAGTATTGAAAATATAGATACGATTTTATCATTTTAAATCAATTTTACCTGAACACAATTTCATTTTCTTATAGATTCCCAAAGGTGTTCTATAGTCAGAAGGGAAGTTCTGTGATTCTTTGGAACGTTTGTCCCATTGTTACACTACTGACCAGCTGTCAAAAATGTGGCTGTGTTATTGCTCAGATAGATCACCAAGCACACATGGATCTGATCAGGGAACTCCTTCAATCAATGCCCATCAGAGGGGATTTGCTGCCATCTCTGTGAAAACAACTATAGTCAGGCATCAGGTCAGTTCCATAAAGCTTATTTAGGATTTGTTTACAGAACGTTATATTTTTTAATTGAGTGGCAGTTCGTCCTGTTAATAGCATAGTGCAGTTAATGCTACTGCTATCCCCTAATAACGCAGGAATAAAGCTGCTGCTGTTGCTGCCATCCCCACACAGAGGAGCATGCAGAGGGGAACCACTCCTGCTGTCACGGTGGGGCTGACAGGGTGAACATGGCTCCTCTGCTCCTGAGTTCAGCTAAACCCTCAGCAGGCACTGGCTGTGCAGAGGTTGGGATGTGAATGGAAAGGAAATCATTTCCTCAGCAGTAGTATTTGTGATCTGGCATCCCAGGAGAGACCGTGCCGTCCTGCACAGCCCTCCTTCCTGATGCACAAACCTCTGCTTCTTTTACAAAAGGGAAAAGAGTAAAAGCTTTTGTCTGCCGCATGCAGATACGTTCCAGGATTCAGCACTGACCTCCCATTCAAAATACTGGATTCTATTTATAGCCCCTCATTCTCTAACAGAGTTCACTCCAACCTAAAGCAGAGATTCATTTCTTCTGGGTGTCCCTACTGCTGTGTGAGAGGGGGATGTTGCTTCTCATTTAGACAATAAGAATGCAGAATGTTTCCTATTTATGATTAGCCTCAGTTGCACGTTTTCTGCTGTTCTTTTTAGAAGAAAGCAATGTTTACTATCAAAAACACACAGCCCAAAAGATACACTTGACTATTTTATTTTGGAAGTGTAAAGGGTTTTAAAATAAACAAAAGGAAATGTTCAAATACATTTCATACTGCATGTGGTAGGAGTGGCTCCATACAATACAATATGGATGCAGCAAACCCAGCCGTTTATTTAAGACATTGAGTATAATAGCACAGACAGTCCCAGATCTGCTCTTGTGTCGCACTACGCTGCCTGACCTTGTTGTTACTGCTTAAATTCAGCCTGCTTCATTAATTATTAATACTTTATTTCTCGATATTGATTGTTCAAGTTAGAAAAGAGCAGTTAAAAACTACTGACTTTAAGACAGACACTGCAAGACCCCCAGAACTGCAATCTCTGAGGATATAGAAACATTTGTTTTTTAAGAAAATACATAGTTACCTAGAGATTAATCAATGCAGAATGATCGTGCAACTCAGCATGACAGTCGGAACTGAAATTTAAAGCTGCAGATCAGGATTTTCCTACTCCCAGTGCTGCCTGAAATCTTGCACCTTTAAAAAAATATAATTAGCTTTACATTTATCCCGCAATAAATAACAGCAGAACATACCTTGTGCTACCGACCTGAATTTTTTAAAAAAGTAATAGAGGCCACCTCAGTGTTTTGAGTTTATGAGATCTTTCAGACACAAAGCCCTAACACAGTTTCCCAGTCAAAAGGCATCAGGAAGGCTCATCAGATATGGTGAACTTGGGCTTTAACTTGATAGATCTTTTCCTTATGGTACTTCTAGGGGAAAATGGTACTGTGTCCATAATGCTCTTGTCCTCCTCCAGCTGCCTGGCGGTGCACGAAGGGGTGGGCACTTTCACCGTGTTACCAAATTTAGAGTAGTCCACAGAGTATTGCCCATCTTCCTCGGCCACGATGGGCACAAACCTCTGGCCCCAGAGGATTTCATCCGCCAGGTAGGAGGTTCTGGCTTGAGTGGTGATGCCGGTCGTCTCCACCACCCCTTCCAAGATGACTATGATCTCCAGGTCCTCGTGGTGGTGAAGGTTAGTGGGGGAGATGTCGTAGAGGGGGCTGTTCTTGTCTATCACGTGGTAGATGATGAGTGGGGAGACAAGGAAGATGCTGTTGCCCCCCACGGGGTTCTCCATCTGGATGTCGATCTGGTTGAGGGGCACCACTTCCCCCTCCAGACTGGAGGTCTTCTTCACCACCTGCATGCGGATGGTGGCACTGATGATCATGCTCTTCCGGAGGTCGCCCACCCGCAGCATGAAGCACAGCTTGCCATCCCGCAGGGCGATGACCGCATGCTTGCTAAAGATGAGGGTCTCAGCACGGCGGTGGGCTTGCGAGGTCTTCATGAAGATGCAGCCCAGCATGATGGCGTTGATCACCAGCCCCACGATGTTCTGCACAATCAGCACCAGGATGGCGGCCGGGCACTCCTCCGTCACCATGCGTCCTCCAAAGCCGATCGTCACCTGCACCTCGATGGAGAAGAGGAAGGCAGAGGTGAAGGAGTGGATGCTGGTCACGCAGGGCACAAAGCTGTCCGGGACCTCCGTGGGCGGGGTGCGCTGCAACCGGGTGCCGTGGTCCAGGTCTCCGTGGGCGAAGGCAATGAGCCACCAGACCATGCCAAAGAGCAGCCAGCTGCAGAGGAAGGACATGGTGAAGATGAGCAGCGTGTGGGGCCACTTGAGGTCCACCAAGGTGGTGAAGACGTCCTGGAGGAACCGGCCCTGCTCCCGGATGTTTTTGTGGGCCACGTTGCAGGCTCCGTTCTTGCCCACGAAGCGTGCCCGCCGCTCCCGGGCGCGGTACCGGGCGTGATCCGGCACATCCTCGGCCAGCCGGGTTAGCACGTACTCCTCGGGAATGATCCCCTTCCTCGACAGCATGGCTCCCCGCCGCCGCTCCGCCGCTCAGCGCCGCCCCATGTCCGCTGCCGGCCGGGGGCGGGGGCGGCGGCCGCGCCACGGGGCCGAGCGGGCGAACGGCGCCGCCGCAGCCCCCGCCGCAGCCGGACCCGGCAGAGCGGCAGCGGGGACGTGACGGGCCGGGCTGCGGCCACCAGGGGGAGCCGAGGAGGCCGAGAGCCGGAATGCGTGGCTGGGCTCGAGCGGTCGCGCCCTCGGTAAGGCGGCCCCAGGGTCGGTCCCGGCCCCAGGCGTAGTGGTTAACCAGAGATCTGGAAACGTGCGGTTCTCCGCCTGAGGGCAGCTCGCAGCGGCTTCCAGCATTTTAAAGTGACCGTAAAGAGGTTCTGCTCCATCACTCAGTACTCAGCGGTGACGATTTGCGCTCTCATACAGTGATGGAAATAGTTACACAAGAGGCAGCTGTGCCTTTGGTGCCTTTTTTCCCTTCTCTTTTCTCATCGTCTTATTCTGTACCTCATCCTCCAGAGGGCGGCAACTACATGAATATAGAATAAAAACAAAATGTGTCTGGGGGAGAGGTTTGAAGAACACGGTTGTTAGGAAGAAGCTTTTTACAGTAAGGGTGGTGAGGCACTGGCACAGGTTGCCTAGAGAAGTGGTGAGTGTCCTATCCCTGGAGACACTCAAAGTCCAACTGGATGGGGCTCGGAGCACCTGATCTAATGTAGGTGTCCCTGCTCACTGCAGGGGAATTGGAGCAGGTGGCCTTTAAAGGTCCCTTCCAAGTCAAACGATTCTGTGGTTCTAACATGTTACAGAATGGGGAACCGCTTCACAGTCTGGTGCTAGGGATGACCCACGCAGCCCAGTGCAACAGGGAGTGCTGTGTGAACACACCACGCTGCGTTTAGGAATCCCAAACTCTACAGAGCTAGAAGGGCGTTTCCTTGTTTCCACTTCTGTTCTTTATTGAGATTGTCATTTTCCACTTACCTCCTCTTCCCTTCACCTCTTGTTGGCTGAGATAGGACAGTAAAGCAAGTGGCTTCTGGTGGAGAATTTCTAGAGCAGAATGAAAGAAGCCCTGTCTTTGTGGATCAAGTGACAGATACTTAAAAGAGAAAAGTGGCAGATCTTCAGTGTGAGCCAACATATTTGTGTTAAGTACTGCAGGGCAAATTGGGCTCATGGGAAAAATCTCATACTTGAAGGCTGTGTACAGAATCATGAGGGGTAGTCATGAGGGGTAAGTTTTTGAACCCTCAAAATAGGTTTTACATTTCAAAACTTTTTTTCTTTTAATTTTTTCCTAATTGTAGTAACTATTCCTAATTGACTTTTCCTAATTTATATTGCCATGGTAAAATGAGGCGATAAAGTTATAAAGATTTTTGTTAATTTATAGATGACAGCAGGGTGGAACAAGCCCTGTTTTCATCACCATGGGCAGCCCATCCCACCAATATCTTTGGGATTGAGCGAAGCCTCAGCCCAGAGAAATGAACGAGTCTGGATGGAGCAGCTCCCCCATGCCATGCTACTGCTCTGGGGCTGCTTTGCTCCCATTTCAGTACAACCCTTTGATTTATTGCCATGCTAACGTATTTGTGAGTCTGCTTTGGTAATAACTTCTGGACCATCTATATCAACGCTGTAGGTTTAAAGACTCAATAACAGCAGTGAGCCTTCCATCTTCTGGGACTTTACAGATCCCACCAAAGAATAACTTCTCCTTCCATACAGAAGGAGATGGCTTCTGGTCACTGTTGAGACTTCAGCCCTTTGGAGTCAGGGGGCAGAAAAACCCTGGGATTGGATCCCATATAAAGGGACTAGGTAAAAATACACAAAGGAAACATGCAGTGTGTTTGAGCCACGTGGTGGCTAAGAGGCATCTGTGTTCACACATTTATCCAGCAGTGTTCTACCATTAAGAAGATATATAATCTTTGGGCATGAACTAATTCTCCAACTCTATTTTCCTGCAGTTATGCCTTATGACATCTAAGTTCCATTTACAACAGAAACCAGTCATTTCCTCTTTGAGACCTTATGTCTTAATACTTCAAAATCTAATATGGTCTTATAGTTTCAAAATTCATGATATGTTGGCTCCTTTTCTCACTTCCTTTCCATGGAAGTCCATAGAATAGGAGCTATGCCAAATTGCAGTCTTTGATCCTAGGCACATTCTTAAAAGCATATGAAACCTCACTGTCCTGTATTTTAACTCTTGTCATTTCATTATGGGATCTTCCATAGTTGATTGTAAAGTTTCTGAGGGTATCTCTGTTCAGCATGAGGTTCAAAACACTCTCCAGAATGGGGTTTTCCTGAGCCTTTATGGGATGAGCACCTGCCTTTTGCCAGTGCTGGGCAGGAAGGAGACAGCACACGTGGTGCTGCATGGGGAAGCCGTGGAGTAGCTGCAGTAGTAACCTGTTTGGCACTTGCTGTGTCCTTCTGCTACCCTGAAAGGAAAGCTACCTGCCTTCAGTTTCTGCTCCCACTAGCCCTAATAGATGCCTCAGGGTGAACACACACCAATACACACACCAAAACAGCTGTTTTTTTTTGAAGCTACCAAGCAAAATGATACCCTGGAAGAAGAACTCTCTCTTAACTGCCCATTTTCTCCATCTACAGTTGCAATGACAGAACTCATGCATTTTATCTGCATTCTGCCTCCCCACTTCTACCATGAGTGTAGTATTAGCACAAGCCACATTCTTCTGTTCTCTGGGCCTAGTTTAAAGCCCTTAGATAGCACGCAAGTAATAGAAGCATAGAATTATCTGGGTGGGACCTTTCAGATCCCTGAGGCCAACCATCAACCAGACCTCTCAAGTCTCACCACTAAACCACATCCCTTGTGAAACTGGTAATGATATTTCCTACAGCAGCAACAGTTCTTCCATTTTCCTGCTCTTTGCTGTGGTTCTAGAAGAGAAATAATGCATTATAAATATCATGTATCTCTTGATAGTGTGCATCTAGAAAATGCTGTAAAAACAGCATCCATATTAATTCATTTGGCTAAAGAGGAACAACAAAAACACACACACACACACACAAAAATCAACCAAAAAAACCAACAACAAAAAAACAACTAAAATCAACCCACAATCCACTTCCCAAATGCTGAGCTCTTCAAAAAGGGGAAAAGGACAAAAAAAAAAGGATGTGAAACAAAAGTTGCTGTGAAAAGAATATCAGTGAAGAATTCCTTTTAATCTCTCATCGCAACACTGCCATTTTAACTGCTAGAATGAATGTTACAGTCAGGTGCAGGAGCAGCTGTCCAGTTAAGCTAGGATAATTACAAGTTTTCTTAAGTGTACATAATTTAAAGGTAAGGATCACAGTGAATCCAGAAACAGTATCGGTGAGCGAAGTATGTGAAAGGAGCAGAGAATGAGTCAAGTTCCCAGGGCTCTGAGCTACAGTGAAAGGTTTAATGCTTTTTGTTTACCATCTCTGGAGGGATAATTTAGAGATTAACTGCTGTATCTGGAAATAGCGTGCATTAAATACTGATACTTCATCACAGCCTCCCTCCTCTTAGCTTCCTCGCTATTTGGGAGGGAGCCTGGCCCTTGGGAATCAGTATAAAATAATTCAATAGGGGTAGGTGCAAGGCAGCCTAGGGAAACCTAAAGAAATCAAATTGTAATTAATTTTTTAAAGACATTAAAGGAGAGAACAAGAGACACAAGTAGTATCAACAAACCACAATGAAATGTTTTATAGATTTTATATTTAGATATTAAAGCTTTACATAGTCATATGATTAAAAGAGCAAATAAGCTTTCCAGAAATACCTTTGGTATATTATTTTTTCCTTCTGCATTTAGTCAGTAAGCATTATCTATGGTGGGGCTACAATGCATATAAAATCACACAGTAACAAAATGACAAGAGAGATTTAAGAGTTACACAAAAGCTCCATGCTGGCCACGCTTCTGTTTGATGTGTATCTTGTCATATTTCATCTGTGTAGGTTTGGTCAACAATGCTTCATGATTCTTTGGTAGCAAAATAAAAAAGAATAGTAGTATACAAAAAAGAAAGGTACATGGATAATTTATTAATGCTTCAGGTGGAGACATTGCTCATTTTATTAAAAAAGGAAAAGTTCAGATTTATTATGAAATAATATTTACATTTTTACATTTATAGGTATTTTACATTTTTAGAAAATGAACAATACAAGTGTACTTTAAAAGGCTTCATTTTTTAAAATTACTTATCTGCTTGTACAAAAGAAGCAAATACACTGTCTTCTTGTTCCAGCAGAACCTCGGGTTTGTCATACTCCAAAATAAGCCCTCTCTTCATTACAATGACCAAATCCGCATTCAGGATCGTGTGCACGCGGTGCTGAAAACAAATAAACAAAATGCCAGTTCAGGGTATCCACCAAATCTATTCCTGTGTATGACAGCCTTCCAGAAATTAATCTTCCTATCAAGTTTAAGATTACTTAGTCCTACTTTTCATTCTGATTTACCATGCAAACACTGCAGACAAATACGAAGACAAAGAGCCACGCAGATATTCAAGTACTTGACTTGTATACAGGTACTTGAGTGTGAAAGGCTCTACGGGTTGAGTTTAAGGACATCCCCAGCCCAGGGTCCTGTCACCAAGTGTTGTCACAAGAAGACAGTCAGGAACACGGGAATGGGGCAAGTGTGTGTGGTACTGCTCTCAAGTGTTCTCCTAACCCTGTACTGCTTCTACTATCAAAGCCTTCTTGAAGTTGCTCTCAATCTCTCTTTTTTTGTTTTGTTAGCCTCCCTTATTTATTTTCACATTTAAGATGCTTACCATCATTTCTGTTTTTATCATTTGGCTATGGGTTCAACTTTTGTAACAAGAAGCAGTCACATTTGTAACCATACCTTCCACTTCTCCCTTATTTGAGCTTTTCCTTGCACTGGCCTTGGGATTTTTTTAACTCATACTGTTTAGTAATTTTCACTATCCCAATCAAATTCTTTGCTTCTTAGTTATTTCTTTTTTGTTCCTCTAC